GCAGGGGGCCAAAACTATGATTAATAGGTGCAAACGAAAACATTCGTCAGCCCTTCATCATACGAAAAAACATCTTATGGGCTAAAAAAATTCCATCGATTTGAATAATGCTTTTTTTCTCTTTTGTCGACGAGGTTTTCGCGTGGGCTCGCCATTTCGGAAGACGAGAAGAGCGTCGAGTGCAGACCACACACCACAAGTGACGACGGCCAAGAAAAACTGGTTTTTTTTCTTTCGTCACTTGTGGTGTGTGGTCTGCACTCGACGCTCTTCTCGTCTTCCGAAATAGAGGGTAAACCTCCTCAAAAGTCTTTGAAGAACGCCTAACAACAAACAACGATGCCGAAGTTCTATGGAGAGAGAAGTTGGAGAGTACAGTTGATTCGGCTATTTTGTTCACGACGCAAACAACGGGAATAAATCCAACGACAACAGGCCACGCTGCATACAAGGGGGGGGAGGGAAACGGGCAGAAAGTCATTTTTCCTCTACATTCGGACGATATTTTGCACTTTGTCAGATTCAAAACGAATGCTCCCCACTAAACATTGAATAGCCATACCAGTCTATCAAAGACTTCAGGAATATCCTCCACACTTGATCCTTCAGAAGAATGTGCCACGGAAACATGGTGCACGGATTAAGCTCAAAGGATCCTCAACGGATCTGGGGACCATTACAAAGTTATCCGAAAAGCTGGTTGGAAGGGGTAAGAATCGTTATCTTTGGGAAGCTATCCATCAGTTTGCCCGATTTAAAGGAATTATGTAACAGTCTCACTTTACAGCGATTACGGTAGGCATCCTCAAAACTGATGCGTTACGGCGATGACATCGTTGTTTGAGCGGTGGCGGGTGGAGGGGAAGGGTAGTGAAGGAGAGCCTGCTAGTGCCTATGGGAAGGGACATCCTCAGCGAGTATTTTGCGTAAAGCTTCTATCACCCGGCCAGGGTCAACCGTTACGTTGGACCGATATTGGAGCGACGTTGGACCGATGTTCACCGCTCTCCGCGCCGGCATTCACTCTCGCCACCCGCGAGCCGTCTGTGTCTCCGTGCGTACGTTCACTCTCGGCATTACTCTCGTCGTCGCGTTGGACTTTGTCCAACGGACGGTTGACCCTGGTGTGCGGGAAAATTTGACGAGCGCCATGAGCAAAATGATTTTTTGCACCTCCCCCTCCGTATGTGCCATTAAGCTCCGCTTTTGCTCGCGTAAATAGCGGGCGCAAATTTTCAGAATGAGTCACATATGTACGTGCGAGCCTACTGAATGCTTTCGTCTGGCTGAGATACGTAGATAAGGAGGAAGTAGACGAGAGCGAGTGGAGGAGGGAAAAATAAACACGACAGTAAAAAAACGAACACAAAGGGCTGTTCCTTGTCGCACACGGTTGCTGGTCGACAAGGGAGGGGAGGGATTGGGTTGATCGGTGGACCCAACCTAAGTATATTTGTCTGTGTTCATCTAACGCTGGCTTCGTACATCTACTAATGCACGAAGCCAGCGTCAACCGGCCGTTCGGATTCACCCAACGAGGAGGATTTCATTCGGCGGAATGACGTGGGATAGATGGGTTTGTGGGATTGTATAACGAAGAGGATTTTTTTAAAGAAGTTGGGTGGGATTTTCGAAAAAAAAGGGAAGGTATTTGAAAAAAAAAAACTTTGCTGCTTTAAAGGTTCCCGCCTACCCATCCCTCAACGCATCTTTAATTTTTGGGCGATGCCAGGTGGTGCCAGGATCCAATATGCTCAGAACAGCTGCGACGTTTAAGGGTTGTTGGAAAAATTTACTGCATAACGAGCTCCTTCAGAGGATTGTCCAATTCCAAAACTCTTCCAAGTGACGACTGGCCCTGCTCAGGGCGCTTTTTCAAACCAATAAGAAAGACAGACGTCAATTTATGCGCCATGTAACCCGAAACAAAATCAAACAGACGTCACATAATTCCAAATGTGCATATATTAACTTCCACCTAGCGGCATGAATGACATGACGTTTTTTTTGGGATTGAGAATAATCAAAGAGTCAGCCTTGTCAAAGAGAGCCTTTGATGATCACTGACTTTGATTATGAATAAGGGACTCACCCGAAGTCTACAACTATCTACACGCAGTAAAAATTTGATAAATCATTACTATATTCTACTTAATAAATACTATAATACTACTAAATTAAATTTTCATTAAAATGATATGAACATTAAAGGGACACAAAAGTAGAGGAAGAAAAAAGCAAAGAAACCATCGACAACACTACAATAAAGGTTTCTTTTTTGAATAGGTTGTGCTGTGACGAAGAGACACAGCTCACCGGAGAGATAGCAGACGCGAAAGAAAAACGAACTAGTACGCAGACACTCCGCTTCCGCAAGTGGATGAGAGGGGAGACGACTAGCAATGGGGCAGGATCCTAGCGCTTTCTCGTGCAGTTCCGAGCAGCGAGAACGATCCGTGGACAACTCTAACCTACCCTATAAACGAATTGATCCGACAGAACTCATCGACGTGAAGTGTGACTTAACCTGGTTGGTGATAATAACGTAGGTACCTTCACTTTGGCTAATGCAACCTTTCTAACCGATCATAGTCCCGGGTGGATAAGCTTAATTACTATCTGAAGCAATGACGCCAGATGAGCTCGTGTCAAAGAACCTATTCTGTGGAGGGGGGGGAGGGATAAAGTAGCCACGAGTATCACAGATGTGCCCTTTTCGTGGCTCGAAAATGCGTGACAATAGGGCTAAGGCTTCACAAAGTGAAATTTGGCGGCTAATGCGAGATGCCTCGTGCACACCCATGATACGCAACGTGGATTACGGCGTAGCGGCTAATTCAAATGCGCGCGGGTTAGTGGAGCCGTGGAGCAAGCAAGTTCAGAGAACTCGTCCGGCCCCGCCCTTCCCTATTCAAAGATGAAGAAAGGGAATACTGTGAATGGTTCCATCGGCGACCTCACAACACAATGACTCAAATATTCGGCGGCAATTTCATAACTGTCGGTCAGCGCGTCCTAAGGCAACTCGATGGTCAACTTCGTGAAGAAATCGCGTGATCTTTTAGCAAGTGATAGCCAAGTCTGACAACTGCTTAAATGGAAAACACGGATGAAAATTTGTTTACGTAGATGCTGGGTGAGTGGCTAATGGAAGGCGATGAGTGCAAACGTTCGGCTAATGAGGGATGACAGGCAAAAAGGAAAGCCAACAATTACTGGGTGAAGAAGAGCGGCCGCCCAAGTTGGTGGGCGGACGATAATTTTGAACTTTTTAAGTTTTGGGAATATTTCAGTGTATCCGGTGGCAACCAGACCTAACGAATAATTTGCATGGGTTTGAGAGAAAACCAAAATGCAAATAAAGTGGGTAGGTCTCGTAGGAGGTCTCGTAGGGTGGATGAGTTATAGGAAACTAACTTCTGAGTAAGTAAAATTACTAGCTAAACAACCAAAACTTGATATCAAATAAGTAGTAGGCATATAAGGTCAGAATAAGCATAGCGTTGCTGTGCTGATCATGAGTACATTAAATTAATCAAGTAATTAAAGGTAAATCTGATACTGAGCCGAAAAAAGCATTCCCACCTAAGAGTAAGGTAACCTATGGCGGAAAGCTGAGATTGTGACTATTTTGGGGCTAAAACGCTGAGAAACAAAGGGCTGGGGCGGATTCGTCGACGTAGCCTCACCATCCCAAAGCGAGACTCCATCCTCCTAGGATAGCCTCTGCATGATCGAGGAGGCGTGGGATTAACTGCGACAAGGCAACAAACAATAGGGATTCTAATGATGTTAGCGACTCAACAGGGGAATAAAAAGTGGTACCGCTTGAATACGTCATGCATAGAAATCAGCGGCTCCATCTACGTCAAAAATTCATATCCTGAGCCCTGTGGTTTGCGAAGATTACAAAAAAAAAGAAATTTGATAAAAAAAAATCCGAGAAACAATACAAATTGTAAGTAGATCGGCTGAGAAGTTCTTGTCCTTTTTGCCGTCCAATTTTGAAGGATCATAACAGTGTGGAAACACCGATGCTTGCTTGAAAAAAAAACTCTCATATCCATCATACCCTTGCTAGGGTGTCCCCCAAGAGGCCCACCGCGCGGCGAAGGAAGAGACGCAGACGCGGCAAAGGACGAGTCGCAGCGCATACTGTAGCGGTTAGGCGTTAAATAGAGTGTACCATACTACGTCTCATATCGCACAGCACGCGCTGCGACTCGTCCCTCTGCCGCCTACTCAGATAGAAGTGCAGCAGCAAGGCAGCTTCATGGCTGTCTTACCCTCCGGGCTAATCCCAAGCAAATGAAAATATGGGCGGAGTTCTCGCAGCATATGCTGCCAAGCTCGCAGCAGATGTTGACCGCAGGTGTGGTCCCATGGAGCTGCAATCAGTGCTACTGACCTATGCTGCAACTAGCACTACTGGACCTCTACTGCAGATCTAGGCCCGTCCGTTAGGCCCATCCAGCAGCAGCAGCACTACGGCTAAACTACTGGGGACGCAACTGTTCTCATAACACTGCGTGAGCAGCACTACGGCTAACCTACTGGGGACGCAACTGTTCTCATAACACTGCATATGCATATGGCCAATATTGGCCACTCGTGGCCAAGTGGCAGTACTACTGCCAAACAACGGTAAAACAACTACTGCCAAACAACGGTAAAACATGCACGTTTATCCTAATGGCACCAAAGGAAACAAATCTTCGAGCATCTGATCATACCCGATTTAGGTCCAAAAATTAATTTTCTCTGGAAACTTGGCTAGGGGGGTTTTCAAGGGTGCTGAACACAGTGGTGAACTCGGTTTTGCACAAAAGTTTCAAATTTAGCTCATTTCGAGGGAGAAGCTGGTTTTGTCTAGTTTCAGCCATAGAAACTTCTACCACGGGGTTAATCTGGGGTGCTGAGCACGAATCTGGGCTCGGTTTTGCCGAAAAAGACCGAAATTCAGAGTATTTCGAATTCCGCTCAAGTTTTAGCCAAAGAAACTTCTACCCCGGGGCAATCTGGGGTGCTGAGCACGAATCAAAGCTCGGTTTTGCACAAAAGTTCAAATTTCCCCTATTTCGAGAGGACTTCGAAGTTTTGCCTATTCCGAGCAACATGCTGGTTTCGGTCAAGTTTATAAACAGAGTAAATATTTGGACATATATCGGGTACTTACAATGAAAACTTTGCAATATACAAAACATAATACGTTATGTCAGTAGACTGAGGTTTGTTAGTGATAGCTGAGATAAAGTTGTAAAATGTGTTCTTATGTGACAAATATGTTAGTGAGAGCTGAGATCAAGTTGTAAAATGTATAATAAGTAGCTAACATTCTCAAAGTACACTTGAAGATGGCATGGTCCGTTTTCTCCGAAGAAGTATTCAAAACAAGAGCAAATGATGTTGCTGGTACTCAACCAAAGGGTGTCGGGTGTCTCGTTCCCCACGTTAAGAGGAAAAGCGGTCTCCCTTCGTTTTTACTGACAACAGATGTTCCAAAGGCTGCACTATGTGCTATGAAAGCGCTTATGAACATGACCAGCCTAAATAGGGAGCGCAGTGAATATCCATATAGGCAGTGTTGAAATGCATTCCATCGTCCGAAGGAAGAGACGCATATATGCGTCTCTTCCTTCGCCGCGCGACGAGCTCTTGAGGGACACCCCCCCCTTGCTAACATTACCAGCGCGCAAATAGTCCAAATTGATGAAAACCATACCATATATAGTCTATTAAAGAAATACCAGAGCAACATGAAAGATAGCAAAGGAAATTCGAAGCCCTTTTTGAACAATATTTATAGGGTTCATGTTGCAAGATGCCGTGTCGCCGTGCAAAAAGATCGAACGTTCAGTATCACTCTCGCTGGTTCTCGTGTACCAGGCTTTTAATTTTTGAATGGTGAAGAAGAACAGGTTTTCTCCTGTAAAATGACAACAGAACCAGAAATTAATTGGTATTGGGTTAGCAAAAACGGCAGGAAATTGGCGAAGGTTGTGGCTGACCTTACTTCAAATTCCCACCGTGAAACTGTCACAAATGTTGATGCCGTGGAACTATGACATGCAGAAGAGTAAAGGAGTCCTTCCCGGGAAAATCTTGCATTTTTTAACACGCATATGTCAGTTGTGAGACAACGTACAATATTTCACCCATAAAAATTCAGTTTCCGAAGAGAAACAAACTTACAAAACCACTCTATGGACAATCGAAGGTAAGTGGAGCAGGAGCCAAAGGGGGGCATGGGGGCATGGAAAGAAGTTGGCCTTTGGCCGGCTGCGTGTGCATCGACGCCTGATGGAGAGAATGGGTTAATGTGCTTTTTGTGAGAGGAGTAGAGACAAATCGGTCGATAGAATAGGATGCAGTAGAAGTTGTGAATGCAATAAGTCAAAAGGCCAGAAAGAGTTTCTAGTGACGGCACTCCGAGAACCAAGTGGAAGCATTCCCGTCGCCAGCATTTGTGACAGATGTCCGGCGGTAC